AAGACTAGCTTGGAACTCATCATCTCGCTTGAGATCTTCTTCATTTCCACCTTTCAACCACGAAAACCTGAACTAGCATAGCCACATCATCGTTCAACTCTTACGTCATAATCGAATGGTTAAGTTTTGGTCAATAATTGAAGTACGGCAAAGACTTCATAGATGTTGCCAGAAAGATATCGATCGATCAGACTCCAGAACATAAATGAATCAGAGAAACCTGACTGGAGGACAAACACCCTGAGCGTTCACAGACAGATTACCTCTTATTTTCGCCTCTATCCGAGTTCTTGTTGCTAGCTGTCGCATGCCGCTCAGCGACAAATTCTCAGCTTTTGTCGTTTCCATGAAGCACTTGTTTTCCATGAATCCATTTAAGATGTCAATTTTGTCTCCCTGAATAGAGCATGACTCTGACTATGTCAATCACATTCTGATCTTGCAAGCAGTGTGTGTATAAGCATGTACATGCTCATGGACTAGCAACGTTGTCCCAATAAAACCAGTTCGTGCTACATTGACATCAATTGCCCAATTGTGCGGGTGCCCAGAAGAAGAGCGCGCCAAGTGATCAGGGATTGGCCGTAAGAAAAGTGAAATGAGAGGCGTGAGAGATGACGGAACTGAATCTAGGTCACACGGGAACTAGACGACAGTCCTACCTTACTTCAGCTGGCGCCTTTTTTCTCTACCTCGGAAAAAATCTCTCGCATTCCAGTCGGGAATCCCAGATGACACGAGGATTTTCAACATCGTTTGGAGAACCTCTAAGCGATCTGTCGAAGAAATATGTGAGGGAAGTGCGATCCAAGATAACGCAGCCAATCAGTTCAACAGTAAGGTTACACCGCCATCTCATTGCACTATTCCTGTGATGTGGACTAGCCGGAAAACTTCCCTTTTAGTTCGATACCGACTTCAACATCTTTCGCTTCATAATGTCAGCGGAAAGGGGGCATCGAAAGGAGAAGGACATTATCGAGGCAGCTGCAGGCGCACTGAATAACCACCTACGCATTCGAAAAGCTCTCAATCTAGTACGTTTTACACTTATTTCTTGATATCTTTTAATCGCATTTACTTGTTCTTTTTTT